ATAACCATAAGCTATACGAAAACAAAGACCACCACTAGAAACTATGTACAGTAAGAAATACATATAATTGTATATTTGTTAATTAAGAACAGCAAGAAAATTTACTAATTTACTTCATATGATACAATTGTCTCTTCAAAATCTCAGAATGATTAATATTATGATCGTAATAAATGTTTATTCAATTCATCAAAAAAGCTAAAAAAAAACCCAATTGTAAAATTTCTATGATAAAAAAAATTACCAGTAATGAAAACAGCTCACGATATGCACCCTGTCTTATAAAGACTTCAGAATTCGTAAGCTTGATTGACAAATAAAAAATATGACATATTAATGTAGAGTTTAGTGAAATAATTCATATTGTTGGCACTCTATAATATTTACAGAACATAACATGCAAGTTATATATTTACACTTATTCAGATGTTTCTATAATTACAACTCGCACCATTAGTAAAATCACATGAAACTTAAAAGAACTTTGGAGGCTCAGCTAATTTCTTGTTTCATGGTGTTTTTCAGATCTTTTTGTTATCTTAATACGACTTTCCTGTTACTCCTAAAACCTTGATAGTCATATTATTTGCCATAGCTTAGCTACAGTTTAGATTATAGAATATGAACGTATGACAGGAAAGAAAATGTAAATTATATTCATAGAGAAAGAAATGCAACCATTATCTTATGGGGCTATAAGACTATAATCCCAGCATTATAGATATGTTAACCCAAAACAGTACACAGATACTGCTAGGGAATGAAACCATTAACACTACAGCCCCTTTTCTAAACCTTTAAGTAAGATGTTCGTTTTTGAATATCAACTTAAAGTCCAGTTTCATGATTAGGGTAACTGGGAATGTTGAGCTTTAGACCTTCTGAATCTGATGTGTCATCTTGTTGACCATCACCTTCCTTGCTCAGGTCATCTGGGAAATCAAAGCAATCGGGATCATAGTTTGGTAGTGCCAGTGGAACTTGGGAGTCGGTGTGTTTAGGACTGCGGGTCTCCATACGATGCATCTGAAGCTTGGGTCCCCAATCATCTGTTGGCTGGATTAACATCTTTATTCGCTGCGTAAAAGATTAAAAAAAACAAGAGCTGTTTAAGTAACTTTATTCTACATTTCTCAACAAAGTTTCTTAATTGAACCTTACATATTTTGGTTTGTTGGTTGGTTATTAAATACAAAGCTACAGAATAGACTATCTGTGCTGTGCCCATCATGGGTATTGAAGCCCAGTTTTTAGTATTAAAAGCCATTACTACATGAGCCATTGGGGGCTCCTACACATACAAGTACCTTTCATGTACTAGTTGCTTTGAATTCAGTCTCTGTAATTTAATTATATATATACTTCTGTCAGTAATTGGAACTAGTGTCTCTGTAATTTAATTATATATATACTTCTGTCAGTAAATGGAACCAGTGATATATATATAATTAAATTACAGAGACACTGTTTCCATTTACTGACAGAAGTACAGAACTTCTGCACAGCATTTATTACATAACATTTGCAAAATTAAATACTCAACTATTAGTTATTCTTGCAAGAATTATAACACAGTGTTAGATAACATAAACACCGAAGATTTAAACAACATTTTATTCTGTAAATGTAATCGTTATTGTTCCCTTACATATATTCTCTCATTGACATCGTGAATAACGAAGATTTAGGACTACTAGTGAACTTACATATATTCTCCCATTGACATCGTGAATAACGAAGATTTAGGACTACTAGTGAATAAAGGTCCCAAGTTTTGGGAATATTAACTGGAAACACATCAAAAAATTAACTGGAACATCACACAGTACAGTTGTACATAAACAGAGTAAAAAGAGAATTTAAAAGTAACCTGATTTAGAAATTAGGTAAATGATGTTAAACCACAATCAGTAAACATATAACATACTTAAAGAAATTCACTATTAAGAAGAATAAACATGATATGGGTTTGAAAGAAGCTACTGTTCATTTACATCGTAGATACGTCATCACTGCCATGTATAACGCAGCTAAACAATATTAATGCATTTTCTAAATGGTCACATAGATCAGTGTCTTCAGAGATCACACAGAAAGAGTGGCTTAATGAGTTTTCTTTGGTCAAAATATGTGTTAAAGAGAATTAAAGCCATGTTATACTAAAGTTATGAAGCCAACATCTATTGTTTCTGAGTTCCCTAGTTAGGTATAGTATATTCTTTACTTATTGTTACTTTCAATAACAGTGTTGATCATGCTGTGTAGTATCTTACTTTTTAATTTTATATATTTTTCATTATAAAGAGTACAGTTAGTTAATATATGTATTTAGAAGTATCCCATATCTACTATATTAGTTGAACCTTGCGAGATATTATTGGGATTACGGCCAAAAATATTGTTAACACGAGGGAACCCAATTGACGGAACAATGCATTCTAATCTTTATAAGTGGAAGTGTAAAAAAAAAAGGTGTATTTAATTAGCTCTACTGATTGGCAGGTTGACTTTTAGTTTCACTCTAAGTACATAACATAATCAGATTGGAAGTTAGTATTAATTGTATAAACTATTTAACAGGTTCACGATAACAATGTAGACTATTTATCGGAATCTGGTCCTTCAAAGATTAAATCTTAGACAAGCTTGTTAACCTTTACCAAAGTAAGTCTCAGATTTGATGCTTTTAAAATGCTATTAATCATGCAGGGCATTTATAAATTATGCCAACAAAATCATTTATTGGTGAACAGAGTGTACTAAAACTACACAAACAATTCTAAAGTCAAGCATATTTAAATCACTCGCACATATGCTAACAAGTAATTTACATCAAAGTTGGAAAATATGCATCTTACAGAGCCAGTACATTACATGCAAGTCTCTCTAGCCATGATACTTCAAAAAACACATTCTTATAGCATTCCGATGTAAAGCTAATGCTCTAGTGTTGGCAGGGACATAACTTTAACGCTTCTTAGTTCATCTCGACAGAGTGCTCTCAATCAGATATCTTTAATCAAGATAGTTATATCAAATGATAAAACATTTGTATTAAGTTTATTATCTTAGTAGCTTTTATGTATTTATTCACAATAGTCATCTGTTAATTAATTCATTACTTAATTATTTCCAAAACTAATTGGTAATGAACAGTTAATTTCAAATAATTCCAGTTCAAATTATCCAACTACACGTAAAGGCTAAATATTTCAAAGCCACGAGAAATAAATAAACAAACAACAACAAAAAAAATCTAAAATTAAGAACCAGTAAACAGACCGAGTCTCCATCATGGTCTTGACTAGTGTCTAACAGTTATTGTGTATAATTCAGAGTTTTCTGAGTGCATCCTAAAGACTAAGCTATCTTTCTGATTCAAAAAGGACTTCTATTTGCAATCAGATACCGACAAATAATACCAGTTATACATACTTTTCCAACAGGTCCCTCGGCTTTGTAGACTTGGATACAGGCTACAATAGGAATTGCCGACACTGAAAACATGGACAAAGTCCAACCAACAGCAGTTGCCCAGTCTGGATATACGTAGCTACCGTACTCGGTAGGATGAATGTCAATCCAGGAAAACACCAGAACAGCCTATAAAAATACAAAATAATACACATTTTACACCAGGACAGCCTATAAAAATACAAAATAATACACATTTTACACCAGAACAGCCTATAAAAATACAAAATAATACACATTTTACACCAGGACAGCCTATAAAAATACAAAATAATACACATTTTACACCAGGACAGCCTATAAAAATACAAAATAATACACATTTTACACCAGGACAGCCTATAAAAATACAAAATAATACACATTTTAACACCAGGACAGCCTATAAAAATACAAAATAATACACATTTAACACCAGGACAGCCTATAAAAATACAAAATAATACACATTTTACACCAGAGTACCAAGATTACCTAGCTGATTAATTAATTCATTCCAATCATTATAACTAAGATTGGTATGTTAAATTAGTTTCTATCTCTGAACTATGTAGATAGCTTGTTTTGATAATTTTAAAGCGTCCATTATGCGTTGTAATAATCTTACAAATAAAAAAAGTAAATTAAAACTTTGGAACTTCACTATATAATTTTACTGAGTGAAAAAGTATTTTTTCTCCCTCAATATTTATTAATCAATTCATCTATTTTTGTTGAAGGCAATTGATTTTTTTTATAACTTAAAAATGACAAACTCATGAGTTTTACCATGGTAATTGCAAGATTGAATAGTGAAATTGTTATATAAATAGATATTATTACACCCATAGTTCTTCTCCTTCATTACTACATTTATATATAAATAGATTTCCAATGCTAGGCTTATTTTTATATACACAATGCAAAATAAACATTATGCATTATAGCCTTATATTATAACATAGCATGATGCGTTGGGACAACATGGGACCTATTGGTCCATCTCGGCTGTTCCATCCTCTAAAAAACTAAATTAAATAATTTTTAAAAAATCTTAAAATCAGCCCTTATCATCCATATACTTATCAAGGTTTTTTTTAAACTCGCATAAATTTACAGCCTCTGCAATATCCAAAGGCCAATCACTTTATTAGAAAACTAAAACTGTTTTACTGAAGATGACTCCTTCCCTGTCAAAATTTATACTTGTGTCTCCTAGTCCTACTTTTCTCACTGTTAAATATGACAAAAATTGAATTGTTGGAAAAGGTTCAGAGAAGGGTTACTAGAATGGTGCCTGGGATGGAGGGGTTGTCATATGAGGAGAGGCTGAAATCTCTCAAATTGTTTTATCTTGAAAAAAGAATAATTAGAGGGATCTGATTGAGGTGTTTAAGATTGTAAAGGGAATTGATAGTGTTGATGCATCATCTTCTTTCCTCAGGTAAAGAGCCCAAGACTTAACAAAATATTCCAAATGTGGCCTAACCAGTGACCTGTACAATGAAATTATAACCTCTTGTATTCAATATTTCTGTAGATACAATCTAAAATCCTATTTCCCTACCACAAGCAACAGCACACTGATTGGATGGCTTTAAAGGCTGATCGACTAATACACCGATCCCTTTCCTTCATAACACTGTTAAGGTTATTCCCATCCAAATTACACTTCTAAATCAAATTATTATAACCCACATACATTATTTTGCATTTATTATAATTAAAATCTATTTGCTATTTATTTGCCCAACTCACTAAATGATCTAAATCCTTTTGTACATCAGCATCATCCTCTTCACATCTAGCAACACCCAAGACTTTAATATCATCTGGAAGATTAAGTAATTTACTGACAATTCCTTTATCTATGTCACTGATGTAAATCAAAAAGAGCAAATATCCTAAGACTGAGTCCTAAGGTACTCCACTTGTGACATTAATCCAGTTTGACTGAACTCCGTTTGTAACAACCCTCTGCTTTCTTTCATCCAGCCACTCTTCTATCCAATTTGCTAACTTGTCCCTGACACCTATAGAGGTAATTTTTTCTACAAGCCTTTTATGTGGCACCTTGTCAAATGCTTTCCAAAAATCTAGATACATCAAAACTACATAAGCAGTAACTTTCTCAAAGAATGTCAAAAGATTTGTAAGACAATATTTTCCCTTAGTGAAACCATATTGATTATCCAATAAAATTCTAAACTTTGTTAAATGACTTTACAAAGCATCTTTTAACAGACTTTCCACCCACCCACCCCACCCTCCCAGTGGCACAGCGGTATGTCTGCGGACTCACAACCCTAGAAACCAGGTTTCGATACCCGTGGTAGGCAGAGCACAGATAGACCATTGTGTAGCTTTGTTCTTAAATTCAAACAAACAATTAACAGACTTTCCAAGACTTTTCCCACAACTGATGTAAGACTAATGGGTCTATAATTACTGGGACAATTTTTGTCACCTCCCTTGAAAAGAGGAGTTACATTAGCTAACTATCAATCCTTACCATTCAAGGACTGGCAAAAAAAATAGTCATAAACGGCTCACATATCCAATCTTTAACCTCCTTCAAAACCCTTGGGGAAATATTATCTGACCCACAAGCTTTATTGTTTTTTAAACTTCCCAATTTTTTCTTAGCCAGCTCAGAATTAATGCAGTCAATCTACTATTTGGTCAATTTTGTGCTGCCCACTGTATCAGTATTCTTCTTTGTGTTGGTCATTCAGAACTCAATATAAAACAATTAGATTATTTATTTTTTGAAGAGAATTCAGCACCAATAAAATTAATTTATCCAATTAAAACCAAAGTTAATATGGAAATATTTATTAAAAATTCCTACAAATACAGTTTCCTTCAAATAAAGTTATTCTACATTATTCATATGTTGGAATTTGTTCCATTTTGTCTTTTGTTCTGCGTAAGGAATTTTTAAAATGAGTAAGGGAAACCTGTGAAATACTGTAGTGTTGTGTGTATGTTAGAGAAAACAACAACCCTATGTGTGTTTTTTAAAGTCGAACCTGTAGTGGTATGAGTCTTCAGAGTGAAGGCCAGGGTTACACAGATGGTGCCTCATCAGAATCTGACACAGATCCAGATCGGGAAAAAGATGAAGCTCGAGTTATTACAAGAAGAAGTAACCAAGTAAGCTTTGTGTTTTAGGTATTGATTTTTTTTTCATTTGTAAATTTTTTTTTAATTGTGTGGCTTCTGTGTTTGTTTGAAATCAATATTTTCTTGTCCAGTATATCAGTATTCTTCATTGTATTGGTCATTCTGAACTTAGTATCAAACTTGTTTTTGGCTAGAAAAAGTAATAACTTGTAATATGTAGTACAGAAATGAAGATTTAATGTTTGAAAAAAAATGAAACAAAGATGACAGTATTGAAAAAAAAAATTCAAATCAAAAGAAGTAAAACTAAAAAAACAAAAATTATAAGAGGATCATTTCTGACTCGTTAGGGAAAACTTATTTTCTAGTGACTGAAATCAATAACACTTATCTTTTAATCAAAATTATTTTTCAGTGACAATTCTAGCCTAATAAGTGAGGATCAGTTGAGTTTTTTATCTTCCAAAACCATCTTTGTGAATTTATAAAATTTGTGAAAAATTCTGATTGTATCATAAAAAATATATCTTTTGGAAATACAATAAAAAACGGGGAAACGGTTATGCCCTTACTTGAGCTATTTTATAGGTACGTCTGTAGGAATTTCTTACACAGACTTGCAGTTCTTCTTTGTATTTTATGACACCTCATACTATTCACTAGAGAGAAGCAAAATAATTGGTAAAAAAAGTCACTTGCTATATTGAGTATTTTCTGCTGAAGTTTGATATTAAAGCTGAAAATTAAATTAAGTCTGAAAACTTTCTTCACAAATACATTTCCAACATATTAATTTTCTTTTAAGTCACCCTTAGCAAATATTTTAATTGACATCAATTTAATTGTTAAATTTTTTTATTGTTTTGAACCAATGTCGCTTTGAACTAAGACAGTCGGTGCAAATCAAATGAAATATCTTGTACTGTATCATTTCATTCCAAGCCATACACGTACCCTGACATTTTAAATTTCATCCTACTACTTGTAATTTCACATTTATATGTGGTTTCCCAACCGTTTCTCTGTGGTTGACATCATTTAATGTTGCTTTGGCAAAGTTGTAATGCAAGGCTTGGTTGATTTTGTAGTTTTAATTGTAACTTTGAACTATGTTTTATTTGTTGAAATTGCATTCATGTGGTTTTTCTTTGTTTCTGATAATGTTTTTACGTAATATTTTTATGTAAATACACTTTCTATTTTTATGAAAGTACTATCGTGGAATCATGTTTTTTTTTGTGATTCTTTCATTTAATGGTAAGAATTTAGTGTACATTGGGATTTAAGTGACATTAATATCACTAGGATTGTGGTATCCATGCTGAGCTACAGAACATGCTGAGTGCATGAGCACAAGAAGTTAAGCAAAATGATATGGTCAGAATATCGATCAGGAATTTAATGTTTATATATTTGAATTATTAAGTAAAAGTGACAGCAAGATAAATAAACTGTTAGTGAGTAAGCATTTAAGAATGTTAGAATAGAAAAGTGAATCACTGACAGTTTATTTGAAGCTTTAAGTTTAAAGATATAGTTCACTATTTGTAATTTCTAACGCAATAAGTCAGTCATCTTATTTAATGTTATATCAATATTACTTGGTAATCAACATGTTTTGTTTTGTTTTCAGGAAGAGTTTTATGATTCTAACCAGTCCTCTTGGACAAACCAAAAATCAGAAAATGGCTCTTTTGAGCAAAATGAAGAAACAGAAAAAGAAGGAAAACGCAAGCGTAGAATCAATATTCCTGAGAGACCAAATTACAGTCTTAGCTTATGGTCCATTATGAAAAATTGTATTGGGAAAGAGCTTACCAAGATCCCAATGCCTGTAAGTTCTCTCTCTCGTTATGTTTTTTTCTATTTCATAGAGGTGAAATTCTACATTGCATAATATTATATTTGTTTTGCTGCAAACATACTAGACTGTTATACAAGTATTAGTGGTTAACCAAGGTGCAAAATTAACATGTGCTCAGTGCCAACTGCTCCTAAAATCACATCAAATGCATAAAAACTTACAAGGGTGTGTGTGCCTCATTAGAAGTGAAAATATTGTGGTGATCCTCTCATACTAGATAAAACAGCACTTGTTTCTGGCCAGTACATAATGGAGTGTACTCTGAATATAAATGAAGATGAAGATTCGGTCTTTTCTTAACTTGAATTTTCAATATGGTACATCACCTCTCTCACATATATAGCTATTCTCATTCAGTACTGCCCTCTATATGCAAAAAAAATTGTTTTGCATGCCGCATGATTATTTGCATGTGTGACGCAAGTGGTACCAGGATAATCGTGGGTATGTGGGAGTGCAAGGCTTGCAACAACCCTCCACCAAGAGGAGTACGACACAACCTCCTGATGGATGTAGTTCACTCTATCCGATTCTACCAAACTATCACTTCTCTTTTGGTAGTGCTATGGTGAAGACGTGTTTTGATTGTGCTCTATTCACACATTTTTTTTCTTTATTAATATCATTCGAAGTGGAAAGACCATTTCTAAATTTTGCTACTGTTTTTAATTTTATAGTTTTCCTTGCAAACTTCCTTCATCATTTTATGATGAATACTGAAGTTAATGTGACAACTTCAGAGGTTATACTACTTGCTCTTACCACACTTACACAAGCTTCAGGTCGGGGGAACTCGACTGAGGATTTTTCGGCCTTTAATTCTTTGAGAGATTGTTTGTTGTCTGAGTCGACCTTCTTCCTCCAATAGTTATCAACTTCCTCCTAAACAAGCTGAACCTGTTCATAACAACTAAGATTTTGACATTCTTTTTCCTCCTCCAAATTATGCCATGCCATTGAATGCCTCTCTTGTGGAATCTGTGAGGCCTAATTCAGCCTTTTCAGACATGTTCTCATGTATGTTCCATTTTGTCCATTTCCCCAATTTCCTTTAATCCTGTACTTTCCTTATTACCTGACACTTATTTCTCTCTATATTTTATTTTCCCTCCTTCTCCTGAAAACAGGATTCATGCTGAGCAATTTTTTTCTTAGTTGCGAGCTGGTGCTAGCATACCTTACCCTCCACAGGCCATGGATCAGTTTGTCTTGGCTTACCATCAGACATATTACCCCTTTCTTTATTCTCAACAGTTAGAATCACTACTGAAAGTCCTGTCCATTTATCCCATGCCCAGTTTTCCTGCCTTTGTCTTGTCATTACAACTTTCCCATGTTACTTGTCCACCATATATCTCCTTTATGAGGTACTCCACCATTCCCCTGAGTGATTTTGGGGAATACCTTCTTCCTCATTATCTCTACATTGGCATGATTGTCCTCCTCGGCTCTCTCTCTCTCTTCACAAATGGTTTCTTTATTGTTGGGACCTTATGGGGAGGGATCCTGTCTTGTCTCAGGTTTGTTTACCATCAACTTACCTTTGGGATTTGCAGATGGCTCCATTTGTCCAGTGGTTTGTTTTGGGGGATATTCCTGAAACTTTTAAATCATGTGTGTAATCTGTAAGGTAACATTTGACCCTTTTTTCCTTGGTTGCTCGTTTGTCTCAACCTGAGCCCTTGCAAACCCCAGTGTCTGTTCCATGTCTGACACTTTCCTGTTCCTCCCACTAGGGGTTACACCTTTTGTCATTTTTATCGAAGCAGGCCATATCAATGCCAGCAGTACTGGTGACTATCCTATGGGTTCCGGTCTGATGGGAACTTGTTTGAAAGATTTTGTTCAAATATGGTGGGAATTCATTACTGATCATTGGGTTCTTCAGGTCTTGTCAGAAAGACTTGGCATCCAATTCCTTTCTCCAACCCCATTGTCTCCCATACCCATATCCTTTCCATTACTTTGGGATCCTATTACCAGACAATGTCTGTCCGAGGCGCTCCAGACTCTTCTATCACAGAGAGCTATCGAGCCTGTCAGCCATCCTTCCCCAGGCTTTTACTCCAGACTGTTTGTGGTCGCAAGAAAAATGGATATTGGTGTCCTATGATTGCTCTGTCCCACCTCAATGAATTTCTGTATCTTCTCTATTTTACAATGGAGTCTTTTCTCACACTCTGGTGGGCATTCTCTCTGGGATTGTGGATGACCATGGTAGATGTCTCGAATGCTTATCTACACATTACTGTTTCTCATCGGTGCAGACACTATCTATGGTTTGTCCATCATGGGATTGTGTACCAGTTTCACACCTTGACTTTTGGGCTTATTTTGGTCAACTACATGCTCAGAAATTGTGGTTACGCCACTACATGGACGACTGGCTTCTGTTTGCTCCTCCCGAAATGGAATCTTCCCATCACTCTCATATCCTCCTTTCAGAAGCTGCTTGAGTGGGTTGAATTATCAAGTTGGAGAAGTCTTTCCTGTATCCTACCTAATATCTTGTCCACTTGGGGGTCTTTTTCAACTCCCAGCTCAGTTTGACCCAACCTTCTCCTCTTTCTCTCCATTCTATGGAGCTTTCAATTCTCCATGCCCTTGCTGCTCCCTCTTACTGCTCTTGAAGTTCTCTTGCTTTTGGGAATGTGGGCTTCTATGGAAGCTTATCCACTAGGGTCAGGAACATATGCAATCTCTTCAGTGGACTCTGCATGACCAATGGAAACTCCCTTGGATTCTCCCATTTCCCTTGCTCCTTTCCTCATAGATGATCTGTGTTGGTAGTTGAACAAGGCCCACACATTGTTGGGTGTACCACTTTCTCTTCCCTTTTGTTTTTTCCAGTACCATTTTGGGTTTACTTCACCTATCCTCTCCATGTTGTTACATTCCTTCCAGATTCGTAGACCTCCTTGTTGAGGATTGGGATGTCATTGTGGTTCCCTCAACTGAATATATTTGTATATTTAGTTATTTGCATAAGATCACATTCAGAAGGATACCTCCATGGTCCACCACTGCAGTGGCTTAGAATTGGAAAGTGGCAAGAACTCCCATACTCCACTTGAAGAACAATGGGAATAAGATGCGGTGGAGAGTCTGGAGGAATGCCAACACCGGAGACAGTGCAATGGGTGACCACAAAAACCTTATTATGAAAAGCAGAATGCTCCTGATTTATTCAATCTAAGGGACAGCAGGTATAGGCTGTTATTCCCTTCTGCTTTACTCATTTAAGTCCAAGGGTTAGTATGGTCCAGAATGGGCATTTTGATGAAGCAAATATATCGCAAAGGAAAAACCTACAAGTGATCTTGTGGAACACCCCATCTCAACAGTATGTATTATATGCCATGGGAATATATTTTATGATAGCAGCACGGCTGTACAGTGCAGATTTGTGGTGCACTAAGTATATCTGGACAAGCAACATTTGCCACAGAGTGAGATCCTAACACTAAAAAAGGGACATGCCCCTAAAATAAAGTAAAATGTATATAAAATGATAACTTACCCAGTCACAATCTTACCAAAGTTTGAAGGATGGCGACAGGTGGAAAAAAGTATCCCAATGAGGAAGAAACAGCCACCCAATGCAAATATATTGGGAAATGAACGTATGAGCAGTAGTCCCCATGCCTGCTCAAAGAATTTTCTCCAATGAATGATGGAGGTGAGATGCCAGGGAAAAAATAAGGTGCCTGATCTGATTTAACAACACGTGAAACAGATTTCGGAAAGAAGGAGACAAGGAGGAATAAGCCAATCGAATCAAAAGCTGAACCCAACTGATAAGTGTTGAAGAAGAAAGGTCACGAACAGAGGAATGTTGCCAGGGGATGAAAAGGTAGGAACCGAATGAGAGTAGCGACCGGCAACACGTGTTGATTGGTCCTGCTCAAAATCCAAAATCATTCACTGGGAAATAATATCCATGTGATGGTAGAATGAGGGATCCCAATCAAAGGGGTGAAGTGTAATGTGACAGACCAACTTCAAAGCAACATCAACTCCTCAGACAGGACCATACAGCATTGGAACCCATGCTAACTTCCGGTTACCATTGTACAGAAGTAGTTTTCCCCTATAAATGATACGCAACCTCACCCTCTAGATAGTCACAGAAGCTGGGTGCAACATCAACCCTTGGAGCCCACCAGACAGAGATGGTGCACATGAATGGACGACTAGCTTTATCTGCACCAGGAGAACCCCACTGCCCAAAATGTCTGGTTAGTTGTGGATTGGACACATATGCCTGTTTCACAGATCAGTTTGCTCAGTATGTAATTCTGTTTTATGGAATTTGAGGTGAAAATGTTGTGGACCCTCCTCCTATCATGGATCAAAGGTCAAATTCTCCTTACCCCTTGGTTTTGGACTGGAGTTGACTGGCTGCGTACAGTCCACCATGCTCTTGCCACTCTGTACCTTGGAGCACGTCCACTTTTGCTTTCCCCCGTATTACTGTCTGTAGAAGGTTCATTTACAGCCTCACTTCATCTGGATTATGAGTATGTTCTTAGGTGTTTTGGATTCCAATCTTATCATATTCTCTTCCCTATGGTTGTGCTTCTCTTTTTTTCGCCTATATCTGCGACACCTCTTTGCATAGTCAGTGAAGAGTATAGCTGGTACAGAAGTGGTGTGGTCTCCCAAGGATGATTCTTTATTACGAGGATTATTAGTATAGGGTAATTTTTGGATACTTTTGAAGGGTGTTGCTTTATATATCCTTCACACTGGTCCCTCTACCTATTCGATGTGGGATTCTAGCTATATATTTGAGAAGAGGTAATGTACCGTATCAGAAGTTATAATTTTTCTATACTGAAAATATATTTCCAATAGGTACTTACCTCCTCTCACATTTCCCACCCTTCCTTCCCCACTGTAAACCAATGCTTCCTTTTCTGCCTAAGCTCGAAATGATAGTTTGATAAGATTGGACAGAGGGAGCCACATGCATCAGGAGGTTGTGTCGCACTACTGTTGATGGAAGGTTGTCACATGACGATTTGCATGCGAGATGCAGTGGAACCACTATAATCATGAGTAAGTGTGAGTGCAAGGCAAAAAAAATTCCAATAGAGGGCAGCACTGAACAAGAATAGCTATACATGTGATTGCAGGAAAGTATCTATTGGAAATGTATTTTCAGTATAGAAAAATTATAACTTTTGACCTTGCATCTTAAAATCCATTGGAAATTAAGGGTTTCTTTTTGTTTATATTGTCTATCAAGTTGTAGATAATGTGGCTGACTTCTACCTAGTTGCCAAACAGACTACTGTCCTATCAGGATTCAGATCCTTTCTGGGTATATACAGAAAGTTAATGCAATTTATAGACTATTGCTATGCTGAAACAACCTTGGTTGGTCAATACTGGTTATTAAAGTTCTGGGGGCCTTAAAATAGCATTTATATTTTGCTTATTAGAAATAGTAGTCATTGATTGATGCATTATTATTCATACTATGTATTTAATTGTTATTAATATTATTATTACTTGTTTTTTACTGTATCTAGGCCTAGACCTAGATTAACATCATTATCAAAAAAACAATGTAGGTGTCCTAATCTCAATTGAGAAAACCTAGATAAAAGTCTTAGCATAATTGACTGAGACTTAAAAGTTAAGAGATATAAGCTATATGTATAGTTCTATGGATTTACTCAATCCAAGCACAGTATATAAAGAGAAAAGTTTTAGCAGGAGATGGGCACCCAAAAATCTCATAGCTCGTAAAAAATTTGGGTGGCACTGCATTTGGTGACCTGTTAGTTGACTTTTGATTCACAGTAGCAAAGAAATAATTTATATATATTTAGAACTGTTATTATATTGCCCAGTTTGCCCTTGATGAAGAAAGGTCCACCTTTTGAAAGAACCCAGATTATAGGGTTGTGTATTTTTGTCCTTAATTGATTTATTGACCCTACGTTTCCTAACATTATGAGCTATTAAGTTATTGTCATTGAAATAAAATGTTTTTTAGACATCTAACAAAAAACAATGAAACACACAAGGTACTTTTAGATAGGTTTGTTTCCATGAAAAAATGATATTGTTGATTTCAAAGCTTGTATCGTGTACGTGTGTTTATATACAAATACATATCTTTGTTGTGTGTTATGTAATTATCAATGTATATCTTAATATTCTTGAAAAAGTTGCTGCATTGATATGAAAATGTATGGATGCTTATAATCAAAAAGTATCAAAGCTGTAATAAAACTTCAGACTTCTTATCAAAAAATATGAAGGGTTGGTCTTCATGTCCAGATGTAATGGAGTTAACAGTTGTTCAGGAGATAAGATTGATTTAATCGGATACATTTTGTTCAAAATTATGCTTTGAAATTTATTATTATTTAAGTGTTTCGTGTACAACTACGTGTTGTACAATAATGGAGACATATTTCACTAACTTTTGTGTTAAATAACAGACTTGCATGTTTATTTTTCTGACAATTTTTAATGCATAGGTTAATTTCAATGAGCCACTCTCCACCTTACAAAGACTCACAGAAGAATACGAGTATTCTGAGCTGTTAGATAAGGCTGCTAAAATGGAAGATACTTATGAGCAAATGGCTTATGTTGCTGCCTATACTATTTCATCGTACGCCACCACGAGCAACAGATCTGGCAAGCCCTTTAATCCACTCCTAGGCGAAACGTTTGAATGTGATCGAACAGATGACTATGGTTGGAGGTGCATTTCCGAGCAGGTATGGTACCCAGCTTAAACCTGTGTTTTTCTTAGTCACATGAGACATGCGTGGAGTAATTGTTAATTTTCCTTTTTGTGACCCTCTGTCCGTAATTGGCATGCCTGTCAGGCATTATTGAAACAGTTGCTATTTTTATCTTTCATATTTGTCATATGCTTGATATTTTGTAATAGAATACTAAAAAAAAAAACATGGATGGAATTTGAACTAAGAACGTATAAACAGTGCTGTATCAGTACATTCAGTCTAGGCATACATGTACATTGCACATGAGCTTATATTCAAGTAATGAAGATAAAATTTTATATCTGTGATCGCTCGTGTGTCAACAGGACCGAAGTTTAAGTAGTTTTATTTAAAGGTTTCTTTTAAAGTATATAATATAAAACATTGAATTGTAATGTACATGATAATACTAATTTCAGTAGAATATATTGATAGTAAAGTTGTTTAATTAAATTTTGAATGTAACTCAGTGAAACTTTGTGACTTGCACAGAAAGGAGTTTAAAGAGTGTAATGAAAGTGAAAGGGTTAAATATTAGTGTCAACTTTGAGTAGGTTGCAGGGTGTAACTTTTATGATCTTAAAGCTCAATATAAAGCTTGAATAGATTGTTGGGCACAACTTTTGGGAACGTAAAGTTTAATATCAAGATTGAGAAGGCTTTTGGGCATAACTTTTGATCTTAAACCATAATAAAACACACTTTTTCTTAACTTTCTATGCATCAAAATGATGCGAGCAGGGTTTGCTATACAGTAGTAATGTATATGTTGTATACAGCAGTAATGTATATGTTGACAAATGTATAAATTACATGATTTATGACAGTAGTTTTTTGGAACCTATTTTTCAAGGACTTTTCAGGATCTCTCCCAGAAAATCATTCATTTTCCAAAACTTATATTTCATTAAGTGACGTTCACATACTTTAAGGACCAGTCAACATATACATTACTGCTGAATCATATTTCATTTTCACATCTCTGTATTACGTATTCAGTGGAGTAGTACCAGTTACTGCAGGTTATGTTATTGTATTTCTTTCAGCTCACTACAAAGAACTAATTCCTGTTCCAGCAGCACATACTATAAAATCACAAATTTCCCCAATAAACTACATCCACAGTGTGTTAAAATCACAACTTTCCCCAATAAACTACATCCACAGTGTGTTAAAATCACAAATTTCCCCAATAAACTACATCCACAATGTGTGTATTAAAATCACAAATTTCCCCAATAAACTACATCCACTGTGTTAAAATCACAAACTTCCCCAATAAACTACATCCACAGTGTGTTAAAATCACAAATTTCCCCAATAAACTACATCCACAGTGTATTCACACATGAATAAACAGGTGCATGGGAGAACAATCAATGTGATATTATGTCTGTAAAAAAACTCCTAAAAGTTAATTTGTTTTTGCACAAACTTTGTATTTCTCCCCTACTTGTTTTACTAAAAAAAATTTAGAGAAAGAAATAGGCCCTCGTAAAAAGGAAATGCTAGGAAAATGTAAATTCAATCCTGCAAGGCAGGAGATGGACTTGTATGACAGTTGGCTTTTACCAACCACAATAATATTAACTGCAAAATAACTATGAAAACTTTAAACAAACAATACAAAAGGTGCTGTATGGGATTTTGTTTCCAATAACTTGTAATGCAGTTGAAATAGCGAGACACATAGCATGGAAACTAGATGGGTAAGTTTTTGTTTTTCTTATTCTAATAACTGAACTGAAGATTAATTAGGCAAAGGAAGAACTGGGTGTATATGAAATGTTTCACATGAGGACTTTTGGAAAAATGTATTTCGCTTGGTCTGTCATTATTAATGTTACTCATAAGTATTGTATTTACAACATTGTGCACTTGGCAAAAATTTGGGGTAATTTATTATTATGTTGTGTCACCTAGTACTTTTTTTCTTCTTCCTCTGTTTTCCTAAGTTACAAACTGAATAAAAAAGACACTCCCATAATGTAAAATATAATAACTTAATGTCTGAGTTTTGGTAAAATTAAAAAACACAATATTTTTACTATTATCATTCATCTGCCTTGGATTATGCATACGATTACTTCTGCCACCGAAGATGGATGGAGGTTATGTTTTCTACCCTGTGTCAGCAAGGTTTCTCAAAGATGACTGAATGAACTTGGACAAAACTTGGTATGCACTTGGACTATGACCAACCTAGAAGTAATTAGTTTTTTGAGGGTCAAAGGTCAAGGTCAGAAAAATTCCCCAAAATCCCCATCTTTTAACATGGGTACTGATTTTTCATACTATTTTTGCTCTATAATTCAGTCAAAAAATGATCAGATTTTGATGAAACTTGGTGGACATGCATAGAACATTATTCTTCATTGTCCTGCCAAAAGTGGTTCATGTCCATTGATAACGACAGACACGTGGATTCATTTTCATATTTTTTGAGAGCTGAATATGATAAATGCTGTGAGGTAGAGGTATGTGCTCTACTGAGTGGTCCCCTCTAGTTTTAAGTTCTGTTCTTCTAGTTAGAATTAATTCCTGTAAATGATGGTTTTACGGTTACTTTAAATGACAGTACAAGTTTTAAAACAAATAAACAAAAGCCTTACCTCTTTCTAATGATTAAAAGTAGCTCTTTTAACCACCTGAAAACTATATAACAGTTTTTTCTAAATAATAAAAAGGCTCAGGTTTAGTAATGTGTACCAAGACTTAAGCTTAGACTACAGTTTGTAGTTCATGTTTTATATCTACTCAGTGCTTTGCTACAATAAAAATAGAAAATATTTCATTCCTGGATTAGCATATATATTCACATTTTAATTAATGTAATATATTAATGGAGTTCTCTTTTTTTTTTTTCCCCTTAAGAATCAAAAGGCATTACTTCATGAACAACAGAGAGCAATAGATGTCGAGCAGAAATATTGTGGATACTGAAAACCACAATAGATGGCGAGCAGAAATATTGTGGATACTGAAAACCACAATAGATGGTGAGCAGAAATATTGTGGATACTGAAAACCACAATAGATGTCGATCAGAAATATTGTGGATACTGAAAACCACAATAGATGGTGAGCAGAAATATTGTGGATACTGAAAACCACAATAGATGGCGAGCTGAAATATTGTGGATACTGAAAACCACAATAGATGGCAAGCTGAAATATTGTGGATATTGAAAACCATCACCTCCAACTACTACAAATGTTTAGAGGATAATTCTAAAATTTTCTAAATACTGTTTTCTGATAGTGCAATTGCTTGCTTTTATGACTGTGGGGAAAGAAAAACATCATAAATGGTTAATCATGGTCATGCCCCATATTTCTGTCGTCTTTTGTACAAAATACGTAAAAATGACAGTTATGTCTTAGTGTATGATGAGTCTTTAAATAAGAAATTGCAGCCAGAGCAAACTGATTTGCACATCCAATTCCTAGACAGTTTCAAAAACAGTGGATTCAGCTTTCAAGGGTCATGACACATCAGTAGATTGTCTCTCCTACTTCAGTGTGTTGACAGAAATTTTTAACGTGGAAAACTTTCATCAGATATCAATGGATTGACCAAACGTCAATCACAAGTTCCATTAAAATTTCACATCTAGTGCCTTGTGTGAAGCTACAGATAAAAAAAGGATTGTGGGCATTGGATCGTATACTTTACACAATATACACAATGCCTTCCGAGCTTCATTTAGTACCACCAGTTGGGACTTAGAAAGCACGTTACAGGCCCTCTATAGACTTTTTTTAAGGATAAACCTGCTGGATATGATAATTCTATGTCCATAACAGGCTCATCTGTACTCCCACTAAAATTTTGTACCTACTGGTGGGTAGAGAATATTCCTGTGGCAACAAGAGCCTTGGATTTACTACCTCATCTTATCACTTTTGTGAAGAAAAAAAAGTTGAAAGTAACAAGTTTCACCATCCCAAAGTGCAAAATGGGGGCAAGGAAGTGCATTGTTCATCTGCTGAAGAAGTTATTGGATAAGACTCCCATTAAAGTCAGTTTTGTGCAACGTGCTTCTTGCCTCAGTCCACCTAAAATGGCAAAGGTTCCTGAAGACTGTGAGAAGAAATTGAAAGGAATGCTGTCATTCTTTGTTGGGTTAAAGTGCTTACCAGAACAAAAGTGTGATGATGTATAAAAGCAATTCAAGCACTTTTTTGTAAGATGAAGTCACCAGCCAGCATAGTCGCTTCCTTGATTATGACAGTCATCCCAGTGGGAAAGCAGCACGTGATACCTTTTTTGCTGAACAGCTGGAAGGAAAAGAAAAGTATCTATCACTGTAGGTTATTATCAAACTGTTGTTGGTACTTTCGCATTGACTACTGAAGAAAGAGGTTTTACTGTAAACTTATATTTCCCTGTGGTTAACAAGAAGGGGGTCACATACATCTGTTTGAGTGTGCTCCAGGATGCAGTCACAAAAGCTGGAGGAATAAGAAAAATACAGATTACCCCAAACACGATTCTGTATTACAAGTCTGCTAAGTGAAAATATGAACAATACTTAGTCACTCAACAAGAGTTGCAAAAAAGAAGAAATGAAAAGATAACACGAGCAAGAATTCATGGAACTGAATGAGGAGAAGAGAATGCTGGAGAAAGACATTGAGCATCTACAGGAGGAAATAGAAAAAGCTGAAGAAGCATAAAAAATCTTCAAAACCAAAAGAATGGATCCTTAAATTTAACTGTTTCGGTAAATCTCTGAAACAAAAGAAATCTGAGTTAGGCCATGTGATGAGCAAGATAAAAAAAAAAAAATCAAAATGAACTGTTTCAGAAAAATATCTTTTTTTTTTTTTTTATC